CACTTTAGCGACAATACCATGAATGAAGTCGTTGGGATATACATGGTGGTCAGTTATGGAATTTTTCTGAACTCATGCATGATGAAAGCTTTCCTTCCCTTTGTGCTTAGCTAGCTGGGAATCCATTGGGTACTGGATCGGAACCTTCGAGATTACTTCAATCGCTCCATGGGAGGCGGAAGATCGAAGGAACTAGGAGTAGTGACCCGGAGTTTCGAAGAAATATATTTCAAATTAGTTTGATGTGATTCTTACTCAGTGGAGGGAAAACAGGCTTCTCTGAGTGACCTTGATCGATGGGGTGATTAACGTTTATCAAGCATAAAAATCTCTAATTTCATATTCCACAAAGAAGATCGTCGTAGAGGGTCTAAGGACCTGGTCAGCGCTGGGATTCCTTTCAGGTTACAGAGTAATAGATTCACGACTTCATAATTATATTAATTTCTGACACACACGTGTTGAGGAGGCTGTTGAAATTTCGTTTTCGATAGTTTCACTTCAAATATTTAATACACTACTGCAGGTAGTATATGCGGCATTCATATGGTTTCCTGTGCTTATCGGTTTCATAATCAAATGGTCGATATCTGGTCTTCTCACAATAAAACAAAGCCACCGAAACAGCAGGGTTTCGATTGAGATGACAATTGTGAAGGCGAAGGAAAACGTATAGACATAAAAAACAAACGCGGATTCGCAGTCGTGCCGACCGACCAGTGATATGAGGTCCATTTATGAGGCAAGGAAAACAGTAGATCAGTGAATTGCCCATTGATGATGTGCAATTTTTCAGAATATCTGGGACGATCGTTAACACTGACCTAGAGTTTCCCATCTGCTGCTTAAATGTATAACTCGCAGGAATTCATGCTATGACTTTGTAAGACAGAACGATGTATTACTATGTATTTACTATATTTGCCGTTGCACTGTTGTCTTGCGTGATTTCATTAAACTTTGATACTTTACGCTCCTTTTCTCTTTTTTTATTTTAGCCTCGAAAACCGCCTCCAGGATGGGTCCGGTCTCCTCGAATTTGAGCCAAGAGTAAGGATAAGCTCAAACTGACACAAAACCTGAATCCATACTACTAAAGCGCTCAGGTTGCACGACTGAAACCACCTCATTGGAATTGGAAATGAAGTCACCCAAAAACTGCTATAAACTTCTGAATTTAGTAGAAACTTGAGCAATTAATTAATAATGCTCTGAAGGAGGAGCGTAAAATGTTGAACTATGATATTTCATTCCGTTACAGAGGTCGTGATAAGACGATCGTTGCTGAGGCATTCCGTGTACCGTTCCCTTTCTGTTGAAGGAACACAAAAATGCTCCATAACGTACGTTAGCGCACCAATTACAACTGAGCGCCATCGAAACAGTGGCATAGCTAACTGAAAAGTGCTTTACAATCTGCAGGTGTCTTTTTTGTAACTTCCCACAAAATGGTCAGTTTCCTTACGAGTGAGTCACTAAGTCAATTTTCCTTATTTATTTTTCCCATTGGAGATAGAGAGCAAAGATATTGATAGCAGTTACAGAGGTTTCTTTTACCCCGAAATTCGCTACCCGCTAACTCTCCAAGGTTACGTCTTTTTTATAAAAAAAATGATGCGTTAAAGTGTCAGAAGTTTAAGGGGTCGTAGTGAATTTCAAGGGTATGAATTTGGTTGTTTCTAACAAGCTTTCGAAATTCAGCCTGCATTCGATATCAAGCTCGCGGAGATACTGTCCCATTACGAACTCACCATCACATAGATCAGAGGAAAAGACTGACTCCTTTGAGACTCCTGCTAACTTCAATTTTGTTACTTCTAGTCAGGGAATAATACCTAAACCTCTTATAACAGTCGCTAGGTGGCAGTGGGCGTTTCCCACCTACTGCATCGGAGGTAACAATAAGATGACCTATTCCATACGAAGCGTCCCGAAAAGACCTGCAATGCTGTCATAGCCTTGTGCTTACCTCTTACACGAAGGCGATCTTCATGAAGTTTTTGAACTTGACACAAGTAGCACCTAATATCCTAATAAAAACTCACGTTTACGATCTACAACGATGAGAGGTAAGAAGAAGTGAATTGTAAAATATATGCGGGTGGAAAAACGCACAAATAGGAATTTACTATGATGAGTAAATATATACAAACACATATACATAGACAACATT